GTAGTTAAGTTAAAAGTCCATAATTTTAAACCGCATATAATTGTGCGGTCAGTGGGAAAAAGTTGTTGTCACCCGCAGGTAATTATGCGGTCGGTTGGGAACTAATTGTCGACCAAAATTAATCGTGCCGTCGGTGGTAGCTGGTTTTCGCTTCCTCTAGTCAGGGTAGGCTGTCTTCTCTTTCATGCTTCCCTGAGGTTGGTGTACATTGCGAGCAATTCGACGCGCCTGTCGATGCACGAGTCGTCGGAGTTGATGGCTTCTAAAAACTCGCGGCCTTTCTTGTATGGACAAGAGCCAACAATGCGAGTTTCGTCGCACGAAAACTGGTGTCCAGTTTCAATTGTGTGCCTGGCGACTTCAAACAAGTGATATCGCACCTTTTGCGCTCGTTGATGTTCGCATAAGAGTGTGGAGGCTGATTGTCCTGTCTGTCCGCAATAAACTGCATTGCAGTCGCTACAAGGGATCCTGTAAATCCCACCTTTTCTGTCCAAATAGCCATCCCTGCCCTTAGGGGGTACGAGCTGATTTCGCAACGCCTTCTTTGGTTTGTGCGCTACTTGGATTTGATACTTCCTCAGTTGTCTTTCAACAAGTTCAGACACGTCCTTAATTTATGGAAGTGTTCGCTAACTTCTTGGATTGGGCAACTGATCAGAACAACTTAGCCTCTTTTATTTTTGTTTTTACTGTTTTCGTCTTATACATCGACGCACGAACTCTCTGGCGTCACCTTTTTTCAAAACAATTCGAACAGGTAATTGCGTTCGGCTTGGCAGAGTTCGGGGCTAGAACAATATATCTTGCTCGATTAATTAGAGTGGTAAAGGCACTGTATTTGTGAGCGACAGGGTGGTTGCTCTCGTAATTAAATATGACAGCCGCGTGAGCTTTTTTGCCTTTAACAGATGTTTGGAGTTTTCCGTCAGTATTCCGCTATGATATGTATATGTGCTTCGCAAACACCAGTGTCTCTATCCTGTGGGTGCTCCGTCTCAGCAGTGAAAACAGACAGCTGAGAAACTATTGGAGTGCGTGTGCTTTTTATAGGCCCCAACGGCAAGAGGACAAATTATTTCCAGGGAGAAGTTGAGAAACCAAGAAAGCCTAGCGTTAAACCATGTTTCTGGTTTCTTCATCGGATCTGCATCGCACCTGAGGTGGCCATGATGTCCATCGGACAGGATGTTGGACGGTCGAAGTTATTCAGAAATTTTGACTACGCCCAAGTAGCTCCCTTGTCAGCTTATATTAAGACGATAGTCCTGTTGGCCCTCGGAATCGCCACCGTTGATTTGTGCGGCGACAGCTAGGACACTTTTTGTGGGCATTCGGCTCGTGTGGGTATTTGGGAGCCACATCAATTATGAATAAACAGTTTTTCGGGTGGGCATTCCTGGAGAAACTAAATGTTGGTCGTGTTTTTCTTTCTGTACTGCAACTTTTGCGCGGATGCGGACGGCACTCATGACTTGAAACATCCCGTAACCGATCTGTGACTGACAATCCGTCGTGTTACTATTCCCGATCGAAAATGGCAAACCAAATAGCCCGTTAATTACAGATTTATCTGGCCTGATCGCTGAAGCAGTACTACAACGACTGAAGGCACTGGCTTTCGAAACTTATCGACCACGATCGTGGGTTCGGTATGTTGATGACACGTTTGTCATCATTCGTCGAGACAACATTGAGGATTTCACAGAGAATCTGAACACGATCTCCCCCGACATCCAGTTCACGATGGAGGAAGAAAAAGATTGCCAGTTGCCGTTCCTCGACGTGCTGGTGTGCAGAAAGGACGGTGGGGAACTCAACACAACAGTTTACAGGAATGCGAAGAATACCTCTCGCATCCTGAGTTACCTCAGCAACCATCCCGTCTTGCACAAACGTAGCTGCGTGCGAACGCTCTATCGTAGTGTAGAAACTTACTGCAGCGAACCAGCTGACATGAAGGTTGAGGTCCAGTATCTCAAGAAACTTTTCACAATGAATGGCTATCCTGGTGCCTTCGT